TCAAGTCCATATCTTTTATAGTAAAGGAGAAATGGATCGGGAAAAAATAAAGTATGAAAATTAACAAATGACAATAACCTTAAAAAATAATAAATGCAGAGTACCGATTTTTATGCACTGTAATTAGTTATTGAATGAAGCATGCATACCAAGTTTGGTGTCAATCTGACCTATAGTGACTTAGTTATGCTCCGAACAATCTTAAGAGGACGCCAAAAATAACAAAAGGCAATGAAGTGCAGAATACAAGTTATTGTGAATTGCAATCTCTGACGTTATAACACAGCTTAGATTTGGCGATTTCTCTTAAGTGATATGGATAAAACAAGTGGCGTTAGTGTATGAATGGTGTTCTTTCATGAAAAGGAAACATAATAAGAACTCAAAATATCACTAAAAATGTGATGTGATTGTTGTCTTAAAAAGGTTTCGTAAATTATCTTATCGGAGGGAGAAAATAACAGCTGCATATATACATGTAGTCCCTTGTTTAATCCCAGTTTAACACCGTTTTTTTACTTTCGTGTGTATTGTGACAAAATCCCGAGGAGTGAAGGAATTAAAAATCAACAAATTAACATAATAACCACGACATGATAAGTATCAATTATATATAACAACATTATGACATAAACAAATTCACAAATTCCCTCCCCACCCAAAAAACAAAAAGGAAACACACTTGAGTCCTCTCAAAACCAACAATATTCTTAACATAATAATGAGAATGTCTTCTTGAAACTATTATGATTTTCCAAAAATAGTTACATCATGATACTATATTGATAGGACATAATTGTACATAGCATAAAATGTTAATCTTATTTGCGAGTAGCTGTTTTTGTAGAAAAAAAACAAAAACAAAAAACAACACACACACCAAAAGAAGCACATAAAACAACAACAACAAAATTACAAATTTGTACACAGTATTAACCGTGCTAAGACATAAATACTTGTTTTCAACTATTAAACAACTATATAAAATAAATAATTCTGACATTATCATAATGTTTGGTGATCATTTTTTATGCAGATTGCTAATATTCAATATTTTTGTACACATTGCTAAAGCAATACATTTAGTATTTGACATAACTGTCATCTTACAAATTTCATCTAAAACTCAACCCGTAGTAGAATTGTTTTTTTACAATCCTTTTTAAATTTAATTTATTTAAAAGTCTAGTTTTGGCTAAAAAGGCTTTTTATTTTTTGGAAAAATATAATTCAAAAAGTTTTTAATTTTAAAAAACTCATGTAGTTTCCCAATTATGTTTGGCAAAAACAGAAATTAAAAAGGGGCAAAGATTGCCCTTAAAATCGTTTTACCTTTAATATTAATTTCACCCCTGACAAAAGGGAAAAAGTTTATTTGAAAAATTAAACAAAGGAAATATAAAATTTTAAATCCCTTAAAATGATTTTATTTAAAGTCATGGTTGCTGTACAAAATAAATGGATTCCTTAGACGCCAGTGCTTGCTATGAAATTAAATAGGAGTAAGATAATGTTTGCTATATAAGTCACTGGTTGCTATGAAATTTTACAGTTGTATAAGACGATTTCTGCTGTGAAGTCACTGGAGGATATAAAAACTAAGCCAATTTTGACCTTTGGGTTATTATTTGGAAAAAGAATGAGTCGTAGAGGTCCACTGAGCATCAGAGTTATGATATAAAACCATCAAAATTGTATAAAGAGTCTTAACATAGGAAATAACTGCAGTTTCAATTGCATTTACAGAAGAAACAGAATGCAATGAAAACTAGAAGGGAATTTTGTCACAAAAATATATATGTCTTCCAAAACAAGATATGGCACTGATCACTCCTGTGAATTTTAGGCAAAGTCCTGCCCACAGTTTGACCTTTGGAAGCCAGACAATAAATTTCTTATTTATAGATATGATTGCCATTTTGTAGTCAGAAAAAAGCGGAGCATGCCAACGATATGCACAACTAGGGATGGTACTGATAATCCCTTTGAAGTTTCGTTTAAATCCGGGAAGCAGTTAAACCTGTGAAAGCCGGACAAGATTTTTCTATTTATAACGCTGGCGGCCATTTTGTGCAGCAAAGAGAAACGTGCTGACCATATGCCATGTATGCACAACTAGGAATGGCACTGGTTACTCCTGTGAAGTTCTATTGAAATCCCACCAGCAGTTTGACCTGTGAAAGCCAGACAATATTTTTATATTTAAAGCTCTGGTGGCCATTTTGGGCAGTGAAGCAGAACATGCTGCCCAAATACACATCTATGGATGGTATTGATCACACCTGTATAGTTTCATTCAAATCCCATATGCATTTCAACCTGTCAAAGCTGGACAAGATTTTTCTACTTTTAGCTCTGGTGGCAATTTTCAGCAGTGGAGTTTAACGTGCAGTCGATATGCAAACCTAGGGATGACACTGATCGTTTCTGTGAAGTTTCAGCCTGTGAAAGCCGGAAAAGATTTTTTCTATTTATAACGTTGGCGGCCATTTTTTTTAAGCAAAGAGAAACGTGCTGACCATATGCACAACTAGGAATGACACTGATTACTCCTGTGAAGTTTCATAGAAATCCCACCAACAATTGGACCTGTGCACGCCGGACAAGAATTTTCTATTGATAGCCCTGGCGGCCATTTTGTGCAGCAGAGCGGAAGTTGCACAACAATAGCGATAGCTTAGACTTATCAGCAATTAATGTGGCAAAGATCAATTAATGTGGTTAGGATGTGTTTTCCTGCATTCACCATAGTTAATTGTAGTATTTACAACAACAGTCATGTGCTTTTATACAGTTTGAAATATCCTAGTATGTAGTTCAAGTGTCACATTAATTAGATGGTGTTATTGGTAGTTAACACTCCGGATCACGGCAAGGAGCCACATTGAATTTACCAGAGTACAGTTCTACCACAGCATCGTTCCTTGACAAGTTGTCAAGCAGTTTTACCAGTACAAGTTGCCCACTTTCCCAAGGAACTGATACCTCTGTACATGCCAAAGAGATGAAAAAAATTCATGATCAATTACAACGAAAATGACCTGCACTGTCTCGGAATCGAAGTCGGGTTGCCGGATTCACGGTCCAACGGTCTACCTGTTGAGCTAACCGGACGGCTTCCAGTATTTACATTTAGATTTTCTTGTGTACTACAGCTATTTGTAAAGATGGTTGTGATAAGTAATATTAATAAATTTATTTTTATTAAATAAATATCTTCTTCATATTATTGACTTAATTAACCATAAATTAAAACATATTTTTTCTTGGTATGACTTTGTCTAATAAAAGGGAGATACTTAAGCCAAAATGGAATGCACTGTAATGTATGTATAACGTCAATGTTAAGAGAGATTTTGATCCAAAGACTTTTATTTTAACAATCGTTGTTGACACCCACTAAGACATTTCAAATATATAAACTAAAGCTATTTCGGTTTTTAACATATTTTTTTTCTTTTTACAATATACAGGAAAATCAATGACCTCTGGGGCTAGGCCAATTTTGACCACAGGGCTTGTATCTGAACAAACTTTGTAGGCACCCTATAGAATATGTTCCATGTTTAATATATAAGCCCTATTGCTTTTGGATTTTCAAAAGTAGATTATTGTTTTTAAGTTTTACTATATATCAATGACCCACTAGGGTGGTGCCAATTTAGACCCTAGAGCTTAAAGATGTTTAATGTCAAATATCTAAGCTCTAGCTCTTTTGGTTTTAAGTTTTTCTTTCAGTTGCCATGGCAACCAGGATTTAACATTGAATGACATTCTTTGAACACTTTTACAGGACTTCATGCAACGATCATTCCTCCTTAGTTTTAATAATACTGATCTATTGGTATAGGAGGAGTTGTTGTTTTAAGAGTTTGATGCAATGTTTTGAAGGACACATAATGGACGCAGAATGATCACAAAAGCTCAACCTTAAGCACTTTGTGCTCAGATGAGCTTAAACAAATAAAATCATCAGTCTTGTAACACATATATTTTAGTATAAAACGTTGTACATAAGGTACAAGGCAATGACTGCCACTACAAAAATAACTATTACTGTTCAACAGTGCATGTAGAAAGTTTGCATTGTATATCGAAGAAATTTACATATGACGCATATACAAGAAATAATTTTAACAATAAATATGGCAACGACTATCAATGTTTGTTTTTATTTACATTTGTAAGTAAAATACTTTAAAAGTAAAGTAAGTCATTCAATACATTTGTACAAAAAAGTTATTAAATGTTACAAGGAAACTTGATTTCCAAACATTACCGAATAATAGACACAATACACAATAAAACGTTACCTATAACAATAAATACAAAATAAGTAAATAAAACATAACTTTTCAGGATACATAATGAATGGGGGATCACGGTGACATAATGTCAAATAACAACCAAAGGAACTAAAGATCTGAAGTCAACTATTTTCAAAATTTAAAGACCTAATAGACTAACAAAGCAAATTTTGATTATGGGAAAGGAATAAGCTATTCTACAATTTATTTCATGATTTGAAATTTAACAGAGTAATGACTTTACTAAATCCGTATTAAATGCATTCAAATGATAGATAGAATCATCCTTTAATTGTTGACAGATTGGAAAGAACATGTAGCGTAAAAGAATGTTTCTTCATATGCTTGTTTCAAATTTTGAGCTGATATTGTTAAAGGGACTTGTTTCGACAGAACTGGAAATAAGTTTTTGATATTAGTATTTTAGTTGATCATAAATTTAAACATGGAAGTGTTGAAGATTGAATTACCCTTGAGCCGGTACTAGGAGGCTTATACTTGTTTATTGTTTCTCACAAACAAACTCAATCAAACCAAGATACAGATAATATAATATATATATATATATATATATATATATATATATATATATATATATATATATATATATATATATATATATATATATATATATATATATATATATATATATATATATATATAAAACAAACTTAAAGAGTACACTTTAGGCTAAAACAGGGCATTGATCTGTTGAAAGTATAAATATATAATAACCTAGCCAACATCAAAGCAACAAAAAATGTGAATCATAATGAAGAAGGATATGTACAGGGAATAAACTGCAACATTCATTAAGATATACATTTCCACTTTAGAAAGTCGTGCTTGTCTAACAAAATTGTTACAGTTAATATGTAGATATTATTTTGACAAGACACGTCTTGTTATTAATAGAATGCATAATTCAACTCAACAGTGCAATAATATATAAAACAAATAAATCTTTCAAATATAATACATATACCGTAAATTACTGTGAAACAACTTTACATAATCATGTAAGCTAAACATTTCAAAAGTGAAGGAAGGCATTCAGGCCCTTGTTTATTACCAGAACAGTTAAATTTAACAAATATTACAAAAGAGAGTTGATCTCTAAGCATAACATATTATACACATGATATACAATTAAATGTTATTTTAAAGAACTAAATAAATATAAGTAGACAAGCATTTATTCGTTGAATTTATACCCCGCCCAGTACTGGTTATTACTGAAACAACAACAGGAGACACGAGGCTTTATTTATATATTTATCACGATATAAAAAGTTATATTCTTTGTACATGATAAATTGTCATGGCAATAACAGGGGCCATAATTTGTGTTAAATATTATTATCTGGTCATGCCAATGAGATGTAAATTGCCTTTTTGTGTTGATGGTTCCCATAAAGTTTTGTTGAATTCAAACCAGCAGTTGTAAAGAAAAAGACATATTGCTTTAAATGCATGCTACACAACTAATATGATGGCCTTTACTCGGAGTTGAAGAATCTGACCTGAATAAGACAACGATATGCAAATCTTTTCTTGGTATTCATGGTTCCCATACAGTTTCATTTAATCCCTGTCAGTAGTTGAAAGAAAAGGCATGGAAAACATCATTGCATATCTCCCCTTGGTATTCATGAATCCCATAAAGTTTTGTTGAATTTCCAGTCAGTAGTTGCAGAGAAGAAGTGTGGAAATGATAATTGCTTGATACGCATAACTAATCAAGGGTAATAACTCTGTGTGAAGGGTCTTGCTGGAACAAAGCGACATGTAGCGCGCAAACAATCATTGCCCTATATGCATAATAAAGGGCCATAACTCTGTGTTGAAGGTCTGACCGAAACAAGGCGACGATATGCGCATCTCCTTTTGGTATTGATGGTTTCCATAAAGTTTCGTGAAATTCCAGCCAGTAGTTGCAGAAAACTAGCAACTAGCAAAAAAAGTTAAAAAACTAGCAAAAGGAAATCTCGATGGATAGCCGACCAAAATGAAATAAGAGGCCATTTCTTTTGTTATTTTCTATCGTTTAATAAAGCGTCAAATGCCCCTACTCTATTTTTACGGAATGAGTTTTATTATATTTTTTTTGTTCTCTTTCCCTATTCATTTTGGTCGTGTAGATGGACGACGGACAACAAGAAAACAATATCCCCCTCTTGATTCCATCGACAGGGGATAATAACTATACAAATACATAAACTAAATAAATCTACAAGCAAAACCCCAAGTGCACATGCTGATCAATATTTTTGGAATGTTCCATAACTCCAGGTCAAAAACTTTGTTAGCTACGAGGGTCACATGTTCAAAATTGTCAATGTTTACTAAGTCAGGGGCAATTATACAAAACCGTATTAAACCACAAGCGAAATCCCTGGTTTACAACTTTACAACTTAATCAACGTTCCTGTACATTGTTTTACTATAATTTAAGCACTTTTAAAGCACTTTTAAAGCTTCACGTGACACTATATGAGAATGCACGCACCCATCCACGCACGGAAGGACGACAAGTGTAAATCTAAATGAACTCATATGATGCTGTTATTCGATAGAAAATACATATATATAATATCTTCTTGAATGTACTTGACATTCAAATACAGGTAAGTACGAGTAAGAAAATGAAATTCAGGAAATCACCTAGCTTTTCAGATAGATAATTTTCAAATTCATATATTTACGTAGTGTTTTGGAGTTTTGAATTTTGCTGGCTGTGGTATTCTTTTCTTTTATGTCTTTATAATGATTTTATGGGCTGTCATCCATGTCGGATTCACCATCTTCGTCTTCATATAGCTTGATCACATCTTCTGGACTTTTAATATCGAGAGCAACAAGAACATCAATTAGAGGTGTTGCTACAGCTCTACCGTCACTCATTGTTCCCTCTATCATACACGTAGAATACAATTTTCCGTCAATGTGTTCAAATACTACTGCTCCTGAGTCACCTCCTGCAGCAAAGTGCTCAAACTTTCCTCTTGGCCAAATTGTTATCTGATTTCGAAGCTGTATCCTGTCATATACAGTAACAACAGGATGGCTTACCAACGTGTAACCTCCTTTTGTTACATTACTTGCACAACCATATTTGATAACATCCATATTTTTAGCATGGTTTGGGATATATACTCCAGTTTGAAGAATACTTGACAAATCTGCTGTCAATCCTGCAATAAATGAATAAATGGCAAATATATTCAGAAATGTCTTTTAACTTCTTATTAAAGTACCACATTCTAAGAGTGACCTTTATATACTGAACAAGAATATAAACTTTTTCAAGTTTCTTAATTTAATAGAAAGAAAGGAATATGATCAATGACCCAAGGACGCCAAGATAATGTGACAAATAAAACAATTATTACTTAATTGTATGCATTACACAGCAGCACATACAAGTTACACTTGATTTTTATTTTTATGAACACACTAGCATATTAATCCGTGTTTATGGTACCTTTAATAGAACGTATGTCGAGGACTACATCGTTATGCTGCATGCACAATATTTATGATTTTGTCATTCATAGATGACAATTTTAAGACAGTTTACTATGTTTCACTATGTAAATGAAGTGACCCCATAGTTGAGGCAACTTATTACCCCATGACAATGACTTAATAAGCTTTCTGTGAAGTCCATAAAGCAATGCTACCAAATCATGAAGAAATACACATGCAAAACCCCAGAACACAGCTTCACATTGATGTTGATCATCATTCCGTAAGTTTTTTTTTAAATTTTAAATCAAGCACTCAAGGTACAAAACAATACAACAGTTTGGAAAGGTTTTTACTAAGTCAATTGCAATTGTTTCATAAATATTGAATAAATCAAAAGGTGCATAACTGCACATGCCGACCAACATTTCTGCAATTGTCATGAGTCTAGGTCAAATACTGTTTTGACCAACACACGACACAAGGTAAAAAAGCAAACATTGTACTAATTCAAGGGCTATAACTCTAAAAAGATAAATAAATCCTTAATTTTGAACCCCTGGTGCGAAACTACATATGCTGACCAACTTTCCTATAAAGTGTCATGATTATACGTCAAATACTTTTGAGCAATGCATGGCACAAATAAATAGTTGCAAACTTTTACTCAGTCAAGGCCAATAACTTTGACAAAACAGAATATATCCACAAAAAATCCAATAAAACAACTTCACATGCTGGCTAATATGTTACTCAAATTTCGTGATTTTGGACCAAATATTTGTTTAGCTACAAGAGACGAACTATGAAAAAGGACGGAAAAGGGTAAATCTAAATGTCATCCTTACGGCCTATAGCTGGGGCACAAAAAGGTCCACATTTCGTTTATAGAGGACACCTAAGGGTCATTCCTGTGAAATATAGATGAAATTTATCTTGTAGTTTTGAAGGAGATGTTTTAGATGAAATTGCGGACAATGACTAACGATGGACAATCTTCCATCATAAAAGCTTACATATGAGGTGAGCTAATAATGCCCCTTGACAAGCAACAATGCCTTGTAATGATAAGCATGTATTTCAAAACTCATATTATAACCTTTCATAGTATGAACACAAGACAGTCTGAAGGACAACTTAATTCCCTTCCGCAATGAGCATGAATGTGTACTTCTTTACATTTTATCAACCATGACCTTGATGATGTGTCATGCTTATCATAAGCACAAAGTCTCACAATGGTGATTATTTGTGCCAAGTTATTTAAAATATTCCATAAATTCATAAAGTTCTGGAGAATATATAACATTGAACATGAGGGTAGCAACCTGGCTGTTGATCACCGTAGATTAAGTCATGGTGGGGATCATTTGTGCCAAGAAATTTTAAATCTTTGGATTGCCAATAAGTTATAGAGCGATCATAATAAAATAAGATGTTTTTACATTGAACTTTTGAGTGTGACCCTGGCCTTCGGGGTTGTGACTCTATTATTGTGCTCTGAAAATGGTGTAATCATGGTGATCACTTCTGCCTAGTTATCTTAAAAACATTGTGCAGCGGTTTTAATGTTATGGACAGACATGAGATGTAGACTTTCTACATTTGACAGTAAGTGTGACCTTGACTTTAGTGGTAGCAAGTCAGTTATTGCGCTCTGCTCATCGTCTTATAATGGTGATCACTTGTGCCAAGTTATCAAAAAAACCTTTTAACGGTATAAAAGTTAGGGAGCGATATGAAATGTAGGCTTTTTACACTTGACATTTAAGTGTGACCTTGACCTTGGTGGAATCAGCCCAATTTATGCGCTCTGCACATCGTCTCATAATCGTTATCACTTATGCCAAACAATTTAGAAAAATCAGAGGTTTAAAAGTTATTGAAGGGACACGAAATATAGACACTTATACATTTAACTTTTAACAGTGGTCTTGACCTTTGGGAACTAACCAAATTATTGCGGTCTGCACATGTTCTTATAATGTAATCAATTGTGTTAAGTTACTTTAAAAATAGTCAAATTAAAATGGTTAAAAAGTTATGGAGCAAACATGAAATGTAGTTTTTTTAACATTTGACCTTAAAGTGTGACCTTGACATTTTAAGTAGCAACCCAATCATTGCGCTCTGCACGTTGTCTTATAATGCTGGTTAGTTGTGCCATGTTATTTAGAAAAAAAAATCACCGGATAAAAAGTTATAAAGATAGATAAAGAAGGGGAATAATAATTCTTCTTATTACTAAGCAATCTTGACAAAATCTTCTATAATTATAATAACAATACATATTACTCAAAATAAGCCAACAACCTGTCATAGGAAATACAACTGAATATTCAAAACTATATAAACGAGTTTTCTGAAATTAACAGTTATATAACAAGCGAAAATGAGTATTTCTAGAAAACATGAGAACGCCCCAATTTTATAATTTAATATTTTACCAAAACTCATAAATATTATAATGAAAATCTACCTATATTAAGGCAGACCTATGGTTTCTGCATGCAATAGTTATACAGATAGATACTTTTTTTCCAAATACCTTGACTTAATATTTCATATATAAAATCATCACGTCTTATTTGAAAGATACATGTACTTTTGTTTAACGTAAATTTAAATGGAATTTCACTATATTTTGATATCTCACATGATGATGAAATTAGCTGCTTATAAATACTTCCTTGATAATGAAAAAAGCCACTGCATATTAACAACGTTGGCAGAAAAAGGCAGTCTTTTAAAATTGACTCATAAAAAAGCATATTTTAATTTAATAATGAAAACAACAAATGTGTCGTCAAACTATTTAATGTAAGTATACAAAACACATTTTATACAAAGTTCAATGCCATGAAACTTTTTAGTGTTAAACTCTTGCAATTTTCATATTGCATATTATTTGGCGAGATAATGACTACATACATTTCTACAAAAGTAAGAGTGCCGAAACTAATTTGTTCAAGAGAGATAACTTTGTCCAAAATAATCGAAACATGGCTAAATTCAAACCTGGCCTGCTTATTCCTAAGATGTATATTTATACCAAATTTGAGTAAAAAAGAACAACTGTTGGGGACTAAATGAACGCAAACTTAACAAATTCTAATTTTTCAAAGTTTAAGAGGGATTATTCGGTTAGAAATCATCAAACCATTACCAAATTCGAACTTGACCAGCGTATTCCTATGACATATCCATATTTCAGATTTGAGTTGAATATATAAAGCTGTTGGGGTGATCATGAATGAAAACTGACAATGTCCCCCTTTTTCAAAGCTGAAGGGGCATACTTGTCAAACATCACTGAACCATGATCAAATATAAACCTGACCTGCGCATACATTTCATGTATTCATATATCAAATTTGAGTTGAATGTAGGAAGCTGTTGGGGTTATAATGATTGGAAATTGAAAAATTACTATTTTCTAATTTTTCAAGAGAGATTACTCTTTCAAGCATTTATCGAACTATGACCAAATTCAAAGTTCACCTTCACATTCCAGTGACATATCCATACATCAAATTTGAGTGGAATGTGTAAAACTATTTGGGAGAAAATGATGATAACGGAATGACGGAAGGACCTATTTGCCCCAGTCATATCTGACGAGGCATAATTATTTACAAATTTAATTAATCACTATGGATAGCTTTATGGCCCCTACATACGCATCGCTATTTATGGGCAAATTAGAATCAGATCTTTTAAACCGATATTATCCTAAACCTACGACTTGGCTCCGCTTTCTAGATTATACAATTATGATATTGGACCATCCTACCATGAAATTGCGTACAGCTTATCAAAAATAAATGTGTTATTTCGGGACGTTAAAATTCTTTAAATTGAAATTTGTACATTATCAATGGAAATTCGTATGTAAACCACATATTCCATTAACTCAGGCCTTCTTATGAATGTGAAGCAAAGCTAATTATTACAGACTTATCTTTTCAGACAATTATAAATTTCATGAATCTCTTATTTAGTTAGAGTCCTTTTTTATGCACAGATATAATCCAGCTAGCAAACTAAAATCTGCATTAAAAAATTTTGCAAAAGAGAAAAATTAAACAAAACAAGAAGCTCTGAAAAATAACTGAAATAACGCAGAGCGGCATCAATCATGGCTTTTAAATAAAGAAATACTGGGATTGTTTAACGTTGTCAGAAATTGACAGCCTGAACAATTTAGACAATCGTAAACCAATCTTATCATTCACCCGTCCTAGAAGTCTTCAAGATTCTTTCACCAATTCAACTCTAAATAAACGAAATTTGACCGGTAAAACTAATAAACGTTATATACAACAGCAGTGAATAGGCGTGACAATATACGTCCGAATGCAAATTTGTTTAAATAATTAATATCTAAAGTAATAAAAAAATTTAAGCAAAGAGGATACCTTAATTACATTTGTCCGTTTTATTTCAATTATCGACCTATATGGAAACATGCCAAAGAAATTTGCTCTAATGTCACATGCATATGTATTGATAATTATATATGCTACAGCCTTCGCTGTGAATTACAAACGATACACATGGCACCAGTCAAGCCCATATGGAGCTCCAAACAATTGTCACGGAGTATAATTATAGACAGACTCAAAACAACAATAATGTTGATTTTAAATGATAACTATTCAAAGAAACATACAAATAATGTTATACTAGAAAAATTCTTAAGCACATATAGTATGCCTAAAAATAATAAAAAAATAAAATAAAAAATTAAAATGCTATGCTTACAAATAGTTTTCTTATTTTTCATTACTTCTCTTTACATCTATCAGAGGCGTAGCAAGCGTTACGCACTTACGCACGTGCGTAACATTGATCCAGGAAAACAAAAATCCAACTGTACTTAAAACGGTGAGAAAACTAAAGGGTATGGGTGATAGTGATGTTTGAGGATTTAAGGCATGATTCCAAAATTTATTTAGCTCTTATTATATAATTGATTCTAATATAAATATACATCTTCGAAGTATTTAGGTATAAAAGTAAGTTTTAAATGTTTAAAACTTTAATGACTATATAGAGTGAATAATTGACACTACACTGTAAATGCTTTGAACTCGAGCATAGCGGTAGATCCCCGTAGTATAGAAAGTAATATAGCGGTCACCTTATATAGCGCGTATTTTCAAAATGGCGAGCAATAAATGTTATGTCTCTCCTTTTGGAGATGTTTTTATGAAGCAATCACTAGACGCTTACGAAAAGTTTCAACTTTTTAACGCCAAGTTGGACTCTGTCATCGAGAAAGTTAGGAGGTTCTATTTAACCTTTTGCTATTGATAAACTAGATTAGGGACAAGCCTACTAATGTTTAGATCTACTTAATTATTTCTTGCGTTAATTAGGAGCTGATTTTTATTAGATTGGATTAGAGGTACATCTACATTTAAGTACTTAGTTTTAGATCTATCTATACTGATTGATTTGTTAGTTCCAAAAATATCACAAGGCCTGTATAACAAATTTCTATTTTAGATTTATTAAGTTATTTAAACCTATTGTTTAAATGTGGTCTTTAATTTAAAGTAGAATCTGTTCCTACATTCGATTGCACATTAACAAAAACCGGAAATTATTAGTTGCAATTGTATACACTTTAATATTGTATGGAAGGCACAATCTTGCCATAGGGGTCGCCAAGTCGACTGCAATTTTTCTGCTTCAGGCGAATCATAAAATGATTTTACGAGACCACCTTGATAACGGTAATCCCCGCAATAATCACACTTCATTCGGCAACAATTGGTGAGGCATCCAACGACGCTCCATTCTTTGGCTTTAACGCCAACGAAGCCATGGATGCGGCGACCATGGATCAAATGGCTATTGCTCTTAGGCACAGATAAACATTTTATTCAGTTCCACTGTTATGTGTTCGTCTTTAAGCATATGCATTTGTATATCTCTTCACGTTTTAACATATTTAATAATTCATTTATAGACCTAAATTTATTATACTTCGAACATGGTAAACGTCATTATATACATACAAAATAACTTATCAAGATTCAATCACATGACATCGCTTGTTCTCCATGTGCAGTAACATTATTACCATAACGTATTTTCATCACGTAACCAAGTTATAAACGTTATTCAAAAAAAAGCGAAACAAGAGGGCAATGATGGCCCTGAGATCGCTCACCTGTATATAGGCCCCCCACCCCCACCCCCACAACGTTGCAGGGCCAATTTTAACCCAAGGGCTTTTATTTGCACAAACTTGGTAGACACCCATAAGATGTTTCATGCTAAACATCTAAGCTCTAGCTCATTGGGCTTTTTAAAAGAAGATTTTTTTTTTAAGTTTTTACTATACACATATAGTTAAAAACAATGACACCCCTGGGGCGGGGCCAATTTTGACCCCAGGGCTTTTATTTGAACAAACTTGGTAGACACCCATTAGAACATGTTTCATGCTAAATATCTTAGCTCTATCTCTTTGGGTACTTTAAAAGAAGACTTTTTAAGTTTTTACTATATGCATATAGGGAAAATCAATGACCCCCCGGGGCGGGGCCAATTTTGACCCCAGGGCTTTTATTTGAACAAACTTGGTAGACACCTATTAGAACATTTTTCATGCTAAATATCTTAGCTCTAGCTCTTTGGGTTTTTTAAAAGAAGACTTTAAGTTTTTACTATATGCATATAGGGAAAATCAATGACCCCCTGGGGCGGGGCCAATTTTGACCCCAGGGCTTTTATTTGAACAAACTTGGTAGACACTTATTAGAACATGCTTCATGCTAAATATCTTTGCTCTAACTCTTTGGGTTCTTTAAAAGAAGACTTTTTAAGTTTTTACTATATGCATATAGGGAAAATCAATGACCCCCTGGGGCGGGGCCAATTTTGACCCCAGGGCTTTTATTTGAACAAACTTGGTAGACACCTATTAGAACATGTTTGATGCTCAATATCTTAGCAATAGCTCTTTGAGTTCCTTAAAAGAAGATTTTTTAAGTTTTTACTATATGCATATAGGGAAAGTCAATGACCCCCCGGGGCGGGGCCAATTTTGACCCCAGGGCTTTTATTTGAACAAACTTGGTAGACACCCATTAGAACATGTTTCATGCTAAATATCTTAGCTCTAGCTCTTTGGGTTCTTCAAAAAAAAGATTTTTTTTGTTTTTACTATATGCATATAGGGAAAATCAATGACCCCCTGGGGCGGGGCCAATTTTGACCCCAGGGCTTTTATTTGAACAAACTTGGTAGAGACTCACTAGAAGATGTTTCATGCCAAATATCTAAGCTCTAGCTCTTATGGTTTTTTAAAAGAAGATATTTAAAGTTTTTTCTTTCGGTTGCCATGGCAACCAGAGTTCTGCATGGAATTAAATTCTTTGAACAATTTTTAAAGGTGACCACCAAAGGAACATTCCTGTGAAGTTTGGATGAAATTGGCTTAGTGGTTTGTGAGGAGATGTCATTTAAAGTAAAAGTTTACGGACGGACGACGGACGACGGACGGACGGACGGCCGGACGCCGGACGAAAAGCGATCACAAAAGCTCACCCTGTCACTTTGTGACAGGTGAGCTAAAAATGCGCAAAATGTTAAAGCTACAAGTGCGTCAATGAAAAAAAAAAGTTTTTACTGTTATTTAGGAAATTACATATGTTCGTGTAAGATCATTATTAGATTTAATTGGACTCGTTGAATAAAATAATATTGTGTTCGCTTTATTGAACTTTACACTATATTTGATTTCACTTATTTGAATGCGATATGTTTTGTGAAAAAAAGATATTTGTTGTCATTACGTAAAAGAACTGAAACTCTTAATAAGTTTGCTTTAAAATATTCTTTAACTCGTTTTACAAAATTTTATATTATATGACAACTCATGTGAGCTTCTATACTCTAGTAACTGCGATTTGTAAATATCTACTCGTTTTTTTAATTGTATCGGCCTTATGTATAGACATCTCTATTATCAATTAAAAAATGATTTACTGTTTATACACAGTGGAACTAAAATGTATAGATGATGTATGCCTTTTGTGATGGAATATGCTATATCTCACATTATAGCATAAAATCGGCTATTTTCCCCTCTTTTGCCCATGTTATAACGGGGCCAAAACCATGCGTTAACATAGTCACGCGCTCTTGTTATAGCCCGGTTTTACCTATGCGCAATACATACAGGGCCCAGTAAACAAACAAAAAATGACGATTTGGCCTGTTTGCCAGAGTCATGCGCTCTTGTTATATTGGAATTATTAATTCGAGGGCCTCAAGCGCATAAGGACTCGGACCGGTGAATTTTCGTACTATTTGTTCTATAGTTAATCAGTCAAATTTGAGGCTTAATTCTGGATTCCACTGTTCTTGATGAATTATATATTGTCTTCAACTTTTAACATTAACACTATCTAAGTCCAATGAGGCCCAAAATATAATAGGTTAGCCATCTACTTTTTTCAGAAATCTTCATTCTGTTGTAACACTGTTTAAATTCACCTCTTTAAAAACTCCAGACAGCTGGTGTTTAGTACATCTTTAATCCTTCCACCAACAAATGAGTTCCTGGAGAATACACAAAAAATAACTTTTAAAGTCATCATATAGCACACAAAAACTACACACATGCAATAAATACACTTTAATTATGACCAATCTAACTAGAGATGACTTAAATTGGGCCATTTCAAAATTTTAAAGAACTACTTTCTAGACTACAATGGGTTCGGTCTAATTCCGTACCGGGTTGAGACCTAAATGAATCCAAAATTTAAGTTAAGCCAAACTTTATACTCATTTCCTAGTAATTTAGTGTTATACAAGTACAATCATATAGGTTTGACATGTCTCTAACAAATTACATTAATGCAGTACAATTTCTTAAATATGAACCTTCATGCGAAAAGTCAGGCTCGGCCAATAGAATTTTACGCAAAAATTTATATTACAAATTCTGTCATATCTTTTGATTCTGTCAATGGATTTTCTTCGAATAAAGTTTACTGTTACCGGCTAATGTCATACAGTTATTTTTATGAAAGAATAAGACCTTATTGCTTAAAAATTGTAATAAAAACTCCATTTCTTTAAATGGGAGCATGAAATTTTGGATTAAAATACAAGTAATCACAATTAAATGTGCTATTTTCATAACTTTTTCCTTCAATATTGTAATAAAACTTACTGATTATGATTTTTACCTATACACCATGGTAAATAAAGTAAAGAACCAACATACACACCCTACATTGTTTGCTTAAGATATCAATAAAGACAAACAGATGTAATCTTAAGGTTAGCAAAGAGGTTACCATATCACCATGGGCTATGTGTTCTGGCAAAGTAAGATTAGCCAACTCTCACACAAAAAAGGCTTAAAAAAGATGACACATACCGTCTCCCACTTTAAATCATTGAGAAGTCTTAATATAGTCAGAATTAGAGAAATTTTCTCCTGATATACATCAAAATAACTACCAAATATTGCCCGAGCATTGGGAGTCGCTACCGTCAATAGCTGAAGTTTCAAACTAGACATAAGTTATTACCTTCTCAATGTGTCCTGACAAAGCTGCTGCCAAACTGAGCTGAACGAGTCCTTCCATAGATCTTTACCAGGATAAGGTAAGGTCATGTACTCAAACCCAGGCTTTGGTAACTGCACGGTCTGAAAAAATATGCAACACTAGTACATGCCTAAGAAAATTATAAGAAGCATTTATGCCGTAATTCTGATATCTGAAAAAGAAAGAAAATAATGTCTTAATTAATCAATGGCTAGATTTGCTAATTCACACAGAAGAGCTTATATAAAGATTGTGTGCTGAAAAATGCATGCCTGCATGAAAATAGCAGTTTAGACATTATAAATCTAACCTAAATTAACTGATGTAGCAGCTACAACAACAACAACAACAATCATATCAACTGTGTTATTCTAAATGAGCCAATTATCCATAAAGTACACTGTTTAATGACTAGAAAATATTTTATGTGTATATATTAATAGCAAATACAGTCTGCAACACAGCAAAACATCAAGTTTCACTACACTGAAAATGCCTATATTTCCAAATTTTATAAATCACATTTGTCCTGTTCAATTGTCAGTTCTGCTTCATTGAAATACAAAAAAATAGTGAATATTTACATACTGATAATTACAGCATCAATCCTTTGCTGAAACATCAAAACATATAATGTGTGGTCCATATGAGCAATAGGCTACTATGGTGCTTGTTCGAATCCCATGGCCGGTGCTTCTTGTGCCCCTTAGAGATCTCTGGAATGAGCTTGCCAATCACTTTTTTTACCAATGTAACCAATCTGAAACCACACACTCGCCAATTCCTTGCAATGCATAATTTATCCATAATTTAAGATGCATTTCTCTAAAAATTATCATTTTCTATATAAATCTTTTAAAAATAAGCTAGATTTATAGTAAATTGCTAAACACAGGGTGCAAAAATAAAATTTATCAATTTATAAACTGCTTTTTACAAAATTTAAATTTCATTTTTTAATTCTAAATTTATCTTTACAGTTTTAATTCAATAAAATGTGGTGAATCTTTCATGCAAAAGCTCTGTACCCTTGTCCCTGCTTACTGACTCAGTAGCAGACATCTACATTTGAAGGGGAGATAACAATAACAACATATGTCCCAATTTAAAATGTCAAAATTTAAAAATTGAAATAAAATTTAGAATTTTCAAACCTGTCAGTTATCCTTTATTTTCCTGACTTCTTTTCATAAACACATCACTGATGCAAAGTTTCATCCATATCCATCAACCAGTTCCAATTTTTCTTATTTCTTATCTAGGACACGGACCGGTGAATTTTCGTACTATTTGTTCTATAGTAAATCAGTCAAATTTGAGGCTTAATTCTGGATTCCACTGTTCTTGATGAATTATATATTGTCTTCAACTTTAAACATTAACACTATCTAAGTCCAATGAGGCCCAAAATATAATAGGTTAGCCATCTACTTTTTCCAGAAATCTTCATTTTGTTGTAACACTGTTTAAATTCACCTCTTTAAAAACTCCAGACAGCTGGTGGGTAGTACATCTTTAATCCTTCCACCAACAAATGAGTTCCTGGAGAATACACAAAAAATAACTTTTAAAGTCATCATTTAACACACAAAAACTACACACATGCAATCAATACACTTTAATTATGACCAATCTAACTAGAGATGACTTAAACTGGGCCATTTCAAAATTTTAAAGAACTACTTTCTAGACTACAATGGGTTCGGTCTAACTCCGTACCGGGTTGAGACCATAACGGCGAGCAGCATTCAAGTAATTATGCCGGCAATACGGCGTATAGACATCGCCGCTTATCTTGGTTGTCGCCCTTTCTTAGAAACGGACAGTTGTCAATGTAAACAAATAGAATCTGTCATTCAGTTTAATCCCCCGATTAACTTACAAAAATGGAAAGCACAAAATGAATATAAGAAAACGTTGTTTTATTGACGTTTATATTGATAAATGTTCTGTATGATTCTTTGAGAGAATAATGTTTTATCCCTGATTTTTTTTTAAACTTGCGTGCTTAAAAAAAAAACGATTCTGAATTTGAATCTGATGTCACTGATCTTTTTCCTACCGCCAATCTGTAATCATTCTAGGAATTTCTGAGGCGTCTGTTTTGTCTTGGGTAGAGTAATGTTATGTTTTTCTTAAGTTAATATATCTCCAAAGTTAAACTTTGTTAAATCAATTAAAATTCGAAATTTCGTTCGGTTCTCAAGTTGTTGGCCCCGGAAAAAATAAAACGCATACGTAAAACATGTAGAGTTGGATAAATACCGTTCAAGCACAAGGATTTAATGTTTGTGTTTTATATACAATATACATCATGAATCTGTTTTAAAATTTTATGCTATAATAGCGTCAACGCACGTTTATTTCGTGTTATAAAGTCTGCAGAGTCCCTCTGAACTGTTGGAGCCCTACCGGGCTCGGGCACCAACCGTTCCTCGGGACTCTGCAGTCGTTATCACACGGAAAAACGTGCGTTAACCCTATAATGAGAAATGAGAAAATTGCAATATTATAACAAATGCAAACCACACTTAGCATATTCACTCAAAACAAATAACTTTTCTTTATAATGCCTAATAAGTAAATAAAGCCACATTCGACTGTTTTCATTAAAGCATGAGAAACAGAAGCACATGAGACTTTCGACTGTGATTTATTGGATGATTAGGAAACTTTTATACGCGAGTGTGGACGCTAGAGGACACGATGCAAAACTTTTCTGTTGCAGGCTCCGTCCACTATATACAGAATCCATGCTACAGGATATACTGATTGAACTTTATCTAACTGTAAACAAGTGTATTTGCTTCTACTAACGTAGCGCTGGACGTTCATTCAGCAGGATGAGAAGGCTAAATACTTCCTTGCGCGCATCAATGACCGCTGGTCGTCTCTCTGGTTTAGGCTTTTGCACATCCACAGAGACTGGGTGGTCCAGACTGACGTCGTTGTAAATACATTTGCACGACGAAAAATCGCCATTTGACACTTTCATTTGCTGACAGCATCATTAATTTTGTTTGCGTCTTTTTATGCAAAGTATATTCTTAGTTATGTAACGTTGACAAAAACCTTGAAATATTGTTATACAATCTTTCAATTATATTTCAGTTCTGTTCTGTTCTAATTATATTAAAGATATTAACCAAATCGTATGTCATACTATTGCATCAAAATTATTATTCCTACTAAAGTAAATTTCTTATTTTATTGACTTCAAATTGACATGGAAATGCATAATTTAAGTAACCCTCAATGGTAAACATCGAGGAGCTTTCGGGGGCTTCGCCCCCTGGACCCCTACCAGGGCTCTGCCCTGGACCTGCAAGGGGGCCTATAGCGGCCTTCTTAACCCCCGGCATGAGTGTTCTTAATATAGTTTTTGGCCTAGCTACGCCCCTTTCCATAACATCAATACTCACATAAACATTCATTTTATGTTCATTATTTGAACAAAAATGATATTTATATTTTTTTACAAAGAGATGATACATGCAAAGAATCTATGCTCTGCATGTTGAAGGTTGAAAAAGTCGTTTTAAGACATGCATGCTATATAAATTGGTCTGCATGTAAATTGTGACAGACCTACCTATCCCCCACCAACTCACTTGGCACAGCCATTTTTTTAAATCACTGAAATGATTTTGAAAATTTGTAGATGACAACAAGGCATGCTTCATGCAAAGTATAAGATTTAAAATAAATATAACATTTTAGGCATATGATAGTGTGTTCTTATTACCAGCCTTATTAGTGAATTTAAACATTTCAAGTAACATCAGTTTTGATATTTTATTTCAAAATAATTAAATCATATTAACCTTTAACCTCCTGAATTATTAAAGTCTTTATAGCAAAAGATCTAAAACTATATATGTATATATTGAGGCGTCCGTGGGCGGCTTTTGGCTCAAATCCCTACAAGGACTTAGAATTCTTTTAGGTTAGGAAGCAATCCAGCTAGCAACCGGGGGTTCTATTCAGGTAGCCGTTCGTGCCGGAAATAATGCAAGGAAGGGCACCTGAGGTCTTCCTCCATCAAAGCTGAAACGTCGCCATAGAACCTAATATACCGTTTCGGTGTGACGTAAAAACCAATGAAAACCAAAAAAAATATGAATATATATTTGAAAGAAAAAAGTCATGAGCGCGAAATTACACAAAGAAAAATCGCACGGAAAATCGGCACACCGCAGCCAGGACTCAATTCACGGGTCTCTGGATTGCCGGTCCAGTATGCTTACCACTACACCACAGCGGCTGTTGCGTTTTCTTCGTGCTTTATTGGCCTTATATAAACAAAAAACATTTTATAAAGTAATAGATTTTGGGAAATAAATGGAGATAACTTACATATATATTGGGAGGAAATACATTAATACCTGGACATTAATAGAGATTATTTTTCACTTGAAATGTCTACAATTACATAAAGATTTTGACTGCGTCAATGTGATCTTGACCTTGAGCCAAGGTAGTCTAAAACTGCGCTCTGTACATAATCTCAGTAATATAAATATTTCTACCAAATAAATTTAATTTCCTAATATCGGTTTAAAAGAAACAGAGCAGGCACATCATTTTGAAATTGATACAAAATGACATTGACCTTTGGAAGGTCAAACCTGCGCTCAGCACATTCTTGTTAATACTTCTGTCAACTAGTTCCAACTTTCTTCCGCTGGTTCAAACCAACAACAACAAACAAACAGACCGGACACGAAAACTCCTATATAGATCTTAAGAAGTCAATAAATCCCCAGGCCGGACCATTTTTGATCTTAGAACCCCCGAACTTTTGTTCTGCAAATAAAGGTTATATTTCTGCCAGAAAAAAAATAGTTTCTTTTTATTGGTTCAAAAGATACAGAGCGGACACAAAATCTTGATATTCTTACACAATGGCTAAGTGTGACCTTCCACCGGTTCAAAAGATACAGACCGGACACGACAAATGCTTTCGGCAAGACGGACGGACAACCAGGTGCATAACAATATACGCTGAAGTTCTTTTGAGCGTATAAAATGTGTAATCACTGTATAATTATTGAAAAGAATAGTAAATTCACTACTACAAATATGTGATGCATTCTAATGGAAATTGTTAATCTAGTGATGTTATTTATTTCATTACTAAGTCTTTGTAAACAATTTAAAATACAGCCAAACTCATCAACAGGTATCAAAACGAATGAACAGCGATAAAATTGATATAAGAAGTATTTTGTCAATTCAATTTTTCTTCAATTGTTGCAATTCATTTTATTTCGTAAATCATTCACTTGATGACTTTTCTTTCATATCGATTGATAAAGTACATGGTAATATGGGCAAACTTTTGAATAAGACATATGGGATGTACAAATTGGAAACATTATGTCAGAAGGATTAAAATGCAAAAGTGCTTTATAAATTATGATATTATACAAATATATACGCTTGCATGTCATTAAAAAAACATCAGATATCTCTTTCAGTAAATATCGGCATAAAGGACTTTTCTATTTTAGTACTCATTTATTATTTAGAAATATTTATTGATTATTTTTAATTGATACATATACGTTATTTATTAATATCAATCATATAATTATTTAATTATCTCCCATTTTTCATGCATGTTTTAAAATGTTTACATTGATATATTACATTATTGTAATCTTAAGGTGATGACTTGATGACTTTGAAAATAATATCTTTAATTTGTACGTTTGTACCAGTTGTAATATATCTTTCTTTTACATTTTCATATATACTTTAAAAAAAATATTTGCGACGGCAATGACTGTTATGAAGAACACCTAATTAATGTTTATTATTGTTACACACGATGAACCTTGCAATGCAACTAAGATATCATTATAAAACATGCAGCCTCCAAAATGGTAGCAGATTGGTCTAGTGTTATGTTATTGGTTGGAAACCATTTTGGCATACAAGGTCACTATGACGTTGACCTTTCAGTCATTGACCCAGAAATCAAAAGGTAACATGACAAATGTTTCAATAAGATTTATGAACAAATTGCAATCTGAAGCCATTTTCATATAAAAGGTCATTGACCTTTGACTGTGTAACCTCAAAATAGACAGGTGTTATCTACTAGCCAAGAATAATAAACCCATGGTTTGTCAAATTATTTGATATAAAACAATAGGATTCATCACTGGTTATGACCAATCTGAATACCAAGGTTGAATTTGCAAGGGCAAGAAGGTGGCATGTGCAAAGCAATATGCCTCCACTTCTTAGAAGAGGGGCAAAAGAACTTGCAGACAACCATACTGAAAATATCTTTTAGACTTTAAAGCTTTTACCTAGTTCTCCTAGAATATCCGAATGTGGAAACTCGTTTGGAGTGAACTCTCTACCCTGAATTTCCACAAGGGCTGCATCTACACCTACATTATTACTGCCTGTTTTCTCCCTGTAAACTGCACGAATAACACGGACGCATAATTTACGACTTTTTTGCACTAAAGGTTGATATATTTTGATATCTGTTTGTTTTTTAGACAATTTCTTCATTTCATCTATGTCCATAACAACATGTGCGCATGTTACAAAATATTTTGGCTCGACATATCCAATCGTGCCAAATTTTCCATTTTCACCAGGTGCATCTGGATTTGATGTTATTCCGATTTCTAGGCCCATCTTAAGAGTGGAGTGAAAGTCCTTCGGACCATTCATAAGAGGTGTAAAAACACATTCGCGTACGTCAACGTCATATTCATCTACCTTTTGATTAAATGGTTCTTCGTGTAATGGAATATAACCTTTAACATGAACATAAAGTACAATACACAAATTGTCCTCCAAGTGATGCTTTCCTAGTTCAAAGTTTCTTGATTTAAATAAACTTGCTGAAATTGTAGTGATATTACTATGTTTCTCCAACAAATTGTCAACATTTTCATTCATGCACTTTACTATTCTTTTCTGTTTTCTTCTTATGCCTTTGTCTTCATAGGGTGTATTTTCAGCTTCAAGTTTGTTTACCTCTCTACTTTCTTGACTTATTTCAGATGATTCACGTATATATGTCATATATTGCTTGTAATTTGAATTATCGATGTTACCTTTTTTTCCTGATTGTGTTACAACGACAAAGATAACATCATTTTCGGAAAATTGCTCAACGGTTGCATCCTTTACATACCTGTATGAAGGCCAGACAGATTTTATAACGTCAGGCTGTGTCTTTTGTATGTAGGTACACACTTTTGTACACATATCCTTCACAACTTTATGTTTTCTCCCAAACTTGCGACAAGCAAAATTTATTGAGGGTTGGCTTGGTATATCGCTGCCTTTTAGTAACTGTTCAATAGCTTTTACATCTGACTTCAAAACCTCACGATGCAAACCTAAAATATCAAATACACATTGTCATATCAACTTTAATAACCTAAAGCTAAATGTTCCCCAGGAAAAAGGACCTTTTTTATCATGGAAGACATGTGCCCATCTTTTGTCCTCCCTAAAGTAAATAAGTGCTGACATTCCCCTATCCTAATCTTTTTCACTTTACCTTAATTTCATATTTTTAGAAAAAGTAAAATAAATACGAGTTCAGGTAAATTTATTCTTTTCCAGTTCTAGTTAATGCATGTTAGGGACAAGAATTATTTGTAACAGAGTTACCAATATCCCTCGGCTAAACCAAGTTTTACATGGAGCACCACAGAATTTTGCTATTTCACGTATGAATCTGTATGAATCTGGATCTGTAAAGTCGTGATAAATGCTTTATCTGCATATGCATCAAAAAATTCATAAAATAAAAGGTAATTCATGAGTATTTGTCAACAGACATACACTTGTATTTTTTTTTCACTTTTTCAAAACTACAAAATGCGACAAATAAAAAGTCAATACAGGATATTGTTTGCAACATGGTACATTTCATATCCAGTGTATATCCGTTGTATCGAGAAAGGTATGTGGGCGATTCACAAATGACATTTTATAATTATTTGCTTTAGCCTGACTTGGGATCATACCCAATAAAAGACCATTTTGGTTTTGACCTCCAAGTGCGACCTTGCACTTTTAGGTAGGGGTCTATGTATTCCACGAACAACTCCGCATGCAGCCAAAATTTAAAATGTTATACTAATATTTAGTTCCCCATTTGTTTTCACAAAACTTTTTGTTATCATTTTAAGTTCGAATCCCTTAAACTATTCAGTGCTAGCCTTTTGCAAATTGCATATTGCATATTTGCGGCCAAGATAAGGATTAGAAATTGTGATTTTTAAAATATCTTCCAGGGTCAAGGGGGATAACTGTCAAAAACATTTGACCATGACCAAATTAGAGGTTTCTGGTAGAAAACCAGCACATGCAATGTACACAGCTAGGGATGGTACTGTGAATTCGCATTTTGTGGTACTGATCACTCCTGTAATGTCTTATTGTAAACCCCAAGGAGTTTGACCTGTGAAAACTGGACAATAGTTTCTATTTATGGCCAATATGTGCTGCAAAACAGAACCTGGCAATTATATGGTAATGATCATTTCTTTGACGTTTTATGCATAGCAATGTATGGTTTTGATCATTCCTATGAAATAATGCCATTTTGAACTGTGAAAAATGACAATATTGTTTTTTCATAGCTCAGCTGGACATTTTTTGCAGCGAAGCACAAAGAGCCAGCAATATCCACAACTTAGGATGGTGGAATACTACTGTAAGGTTTGGCTGAAATTCTGCAGTTGAATCTTTCTTTTTTATAGCTATGTCGGCCATTTTGTGCAACAAAAGCATGTGCGTAACTATGGGTGGTTCTCATTATTGATATGAAGTTTTATTGACATCCTGCAAGGGGTTTGACCTGTGAAAGCTGGACAAGATGACTTAAGAAGGATGGACACGATACTTTTTATTGCTCTGGCCGCCATTTTTTACAGCAAAGAGAAATGTGCCGGTGATATACTCAACTAGGGATGGTACTGATTACTCCTGAGAAGTTCGTTTAAATCCAGCCAGGAGTTGACCTGTGAAAGCGATACATGCATTTTCTATTTATAGCTCGAGAAGCATATTTGTGCAGCAAAGCAGAACGTGTTGAGATATACACAAGAGAGTATGGTTCTTATCACTCTCATAAAGTAATGTTGGAATCATGCCGGCAGTTTGACCTGTGAAAGCCAGACAGGTTTTTTATTCATAGCTCTGGGAGTCATTTTTTAAACAAGGGGCCATTGGCCCCAATGCGCTCATCCTATAATTTATCAATAGGGGCAAACTTTGAACAACTTAATAATGGACCTATAGAATGATGATATTATAAACCAAATATCTAAGCTCTAAGCATTGTACCTGAATTCAGACAAGATTTTGTTTAAAGTTTTTATTATAAACATATATGAAAACATATGACCCCGGGCCGGGTCAAAGTTTGGTCCCAGGACTATAATTTCAACAATCTTTGTAAAGTTCCATTAAACAATGTTTCATGCCAATTACCTTACCTATAGGCTTGGCTTTTTCAATTCTGAGAAGATTTCTTAAGTTTTACTAAGTGCACGTATTCTTACCCGAGGGCTATATTTTGAACAACTATGGTAGTGGACTTATAGGTGATATAAGATACCAAATATCCAAGCTCTAAGCCTTGTACATTCAAACATTTTTAATATATATAGTAGTAGGTGTTTCCTTCTTAAATAGAAGGAAATTAAATACAATTTTGTAACAGTAAGACATTTAAGATCAAACAAAGTATGAACGAACTGTGCTTCAAAAAATGAGATATATTAAATAATTTGTGACAAATGTAAACAGTTTTATATTGGCCAAACAAAAAATGAATTATTTGAACGTATGACTTAACATAGACAACAAACAAAACACAGAACAATTCAGAAATTTGCAAGTCAATAAACATTGACATAAATGTTCAGGAGGTAAATTTAACATTTTTCCTCTGTATAAAATATAAAGCGAAAGTGACTTTTTTAGAAAAGAAAAACTTCTATTCAAATTATTAAAACCACAGCTTAATGCTTAATGATAATGTCTGTTTAACGGGATATATGTATATATAAGTACATCATATTTATTACAATTTCTTCATTTTTAAATATAAAAGAAACCTTTGCGTTTTTATTCAGTCATATTGTTCGTTTATTAACCAATTTTTATTCAGTAAAAATTGTTAATTACCATACAATTTGTGGCCATAGAATAATAAACATGTGAACTTTATTACCTCCCTGTCCGCAAAATAAATGTCATTAATTCACTGCCAGATTGTACGGATTATGCTCAATGTCCATAATATTATAATTTTACGGTATAAATTACCATATTGTGTTTGCCGGGAAATACGATATCATTTAACGTTCCCGCTTTTTTCATGACGTATCGTCATTTGTTTATATCTTTATTGTGTATTTAAGTTTCGGCTGAAGATATGAGAAGAAATCATTGAAAGCGCTACCGAATATACGTGGAGTTTGTTATTTCTTAAACATAATTAAGAAATACCTATGGGATTTGGGGCGAGGCCAATTTGAAACTACAGATAAAACCAAAATTTCAACAACTTTGGAAGAGGACTTAAAGATGACATCATACAAAATATCAAAGCTCTAGACCTTGTTTTTTCAAACACGAGGATGTTTTAAGTTTGCATTTTTGAAACTCCTTTGAAACTCTGGCCCCGTGAGCTACTTATGCAACCGAACGGAACAATTTTAATAACTTTGGCAGGTTGCCACCCAAGGATAATTCTGTAAAGTTTGGGTACTGTGTAGTCATTAGTTTCAGAGGCGATTTGGGATCACAACAGCTCACCACGAGTAAGTTGTGCACAACAAGGGCTGGTTCTGATCACTCCTGTGAAATTTGGTAAAATTCCACTGGCAGACCTGTGAAAACCGAACACTTTTTTGATATTTTTAGTTCCGCTGGCCATTTTGTGCATCCAAGCGGAACGTGTCGGCAATATGCACAACTAGGGATGGAACTGATCACGCCGAGAAAATCCAACAAGCAGTTTGACATGTGAAAGCCGGACAATATTTTTGTTCTATTTAAAGCTCTTGTGGCCATGTGCAGCGAGGCAAAAAGTGCTGCAATTTGCTTAACTAGGGATTGTACTGATCACCCCTTTATAGTTCGGTTGAAAACCTACAAGCAGTTTGACCTGTGAAAGCCGGACAAACTTATTGCGGACGAGCTGACGGACATTCAATCGAAACAGTAATAATATGGCTAATTCATTGTCGTTGTCTTTGACATTTTTAGCAATCTTAAGGGTAATAGCCATATAAAAGCCTTACGGAATGAATGATATCGAAAAAAGTACTTACTTATTGTCTACTAGCCACATAATTATTAACATGTAAGCTCGGACAGACAGAGCGCGAAGGCAAAAAATATGATAAACAAGATCAACAAGGAAAAGCGGCGTTCAATGAACGCAACCCCCATACGTCTCCCAAATTTTGGGAAATATAATTATGAACCGGACAGAAAATATACCCTTTAATAGACCATGTTAAGCTAAGTCTCTAAGTTGTTTTCCTCGACGGCCAGGCGTTACACATGATGATCGCGTTATTATTGTGTACATTTGTGCAAAGTTATTCCAAAATATGTCAAGGTTGACCAATAAAACTGTTTTGAAAAATATGTGTTGGTAAAATGATGATTTTGGCGTTAGCCGCAAACAAACATCTCAGGCCTATATATATTATTTAAAATTTATTATATACATACGTTAAATGTTCTTGAAGCATTGTGTCTTATTTTTCTCTTAACATTTATGCAAACTAATTTTCGGTTCGTACGTTGTTTTGTATGTTTGTTTTACAGCCATTGTCCACGACTTTGTTGGACAGCCCTCATACGTGAAGGTCCTGAACAAAAAGATGGTGTGTGTTTATATGAAGTTAATCCACTAAAGCTAACAAAGTTATAGCCAGTTACAGCAATAAACAAGAGAATGTCATTAATTTCACCTGAATCGTCATGGTTAATTTAAGGTCAAGGTCACCAATATGTTTGTTTGGTCTTGTTTTGTGCAAGTTTAAACAAATCCGTACATAAATAGTATTATGACAATTTAACCAAAATTTTAAACAATAGGGACATGATGGCCCTAAATCGCTCTCCTGACCCATCAACCGCATCCAAACAATGTCTTAGACAATCATCCTGGCAAAGTTTGATAAGAATTGAGTCAAAAATGTGACATCTAGTGTTTAAAAAGGTTTGTCCATATTTGGGCAGTGTGACCTTGTTTTTGATAAGAGACAACATATATTCAAACTTGACCTAGAAGTTATCAAAACAACCTTCCTGACTGATGTCCAAGAAAATTAGATCAAAACTGCAGACATAAGAGTGTAAA